CACCTGCCCATAGAGACACGCCCCCTCACCCCTGGCCCTGCCCTTGGGCCATTTTTGGCAATATTTGGGCGGGGCTCTCACAGGGTGACACCCCCAAAGAGTGGACACGCCCCTGTGCGATCTGCCCCCGCCCTTCCCGCGTGGACACGCCCCTTTCCATTGAGACCACGCCCCTTTCCATTGAGACCACGCCCCTTTCAATTGAGACACGCCACTTTTCTCTTGAGACCACGCCCCTTTCCATTGAGACCACGCCCCTTTCCATTGAGACCACGCCCCTTTCCATTGAGACCGCGCCCCTTTCCATTGAGACCACGCCCTTTTCCGTTGAGACCACGCCCCTTTCCATTGAGACCACGCCCCTTTCCGTTGAGACCGCGCCCCTTTCCATTGAGACCACGCCCCTTTTCTCTTGAGACCGCGCCCCTTTCCATTGAGACCACGCCCCTTTCTACTGCCGGCCCGGCGCGAGGGGAACGCCCCCAGCCCGCGTGGCCACGCCCCCTTCCAGAGCCACGCCCCTCCCGGCCCTCACCCAGCCATCCGCGCGGCTGCCGCAGCGCGCATGCGCGGGCCCGGCGGGGCGGTCTCCTCCGCGCACGCGCGTTGCTTTCCCCATTTTCCCGCGCTGCCGCCCCCTTCCCGTTATTTCCCCCGTTCCCTTCTCCCGCTCCCATCGCCGCTTCCCGTTATCCCGTCCTGCCCAGCGGCGGCGCCCCCTGCTCCGGGAGCGGCGCGGGGCCGCGGCGAGGCGGAAGAGCGGCGGGAAGGGGCGTGGCCGTGCCTCTGAGCGGCGCACACGTGTTCGGCGGGGCCGCCAGCATGGAGCAGGTCCGGGGGTGACCGGGGAGGGGACACGGGGATGGGGACACACACGGGGGTGTCATGGCAACGGGCAGGGAGGGGACACACACGGCATTGCCGTGGCGGCGGGGCGGGGCTGGGCTGGGGTCTGTGAGGGGCAAATGGGGAAATTGGGAGGGGCTGGTGTTAGTGAGAGGGAAATGGGGAAATGGGGAGGGGTCCGGGCTGGTGTGAGTGAGGGGAAATGGGGAAATTGGGAGGGGCTGGTGTGAGTGAGGGGAAATGGGGAAATTGGGAGGGGTCCGGGCTGGTGTGAGTGAGGGGGAAATTGGGAGGGGTCCGGGCTGCTGTGAGTGAGGGGAAATGGGGAAATTGGGAGGGGCTGGTGTGAGTGAGAGGGAAATGGGGAAATTGGGAGGGGTCCGGGCTGGTGTGAGTGAGGGGTACCGGGAAATGGGAAAATAAATGCGGAGGGGTCCGGGCTGGGGTCCGTGAGGGGAAGCCGGCACAGAGAGGGGGTCTGGCCTTACCCCGAGGGGGAACTCGGCACTGAGGGCAGGTCTGGCCTCCTGAGAGAAAATTGGTCTTGTCTTCACTGGCGATAACGCGTAATATGTGCGGGTTTGGCACCATGAAGGGCAAGACCCGGCTCTGTCCCGGTGACAAGGGATGAGGAGATGCCGGCGGGGGGACCCAGCCTGGTGTGTGTGAGGGAATGGGGCACTGAGAGCTCTGGGAATGGCGGGTCCAGCCTGGTCTGTGTGAGGGAA